GAAAGAGGTGATCTTCCAGCTTAATGGAATGTAAAAAAAGTGTCAAATCACATCCCTTGAACTTTCCATCCCTCCACATACCCACTGGCTGCTATCATAATTCCTAACCTCCAGCCATGAAGGGAGGGGAAGAGACATTTTTCAGCATGGAGTTCATAGTGTTGAGAGAACTGCCAAGCACTTTTATAAGTAGTAATGGAGCTGGCAAGTAGTAGTCTTACATGCTTCCTGCGTGACTGACTGCATCAGGTCAGCACTATGAATGAAACATCTCCAGCAGTCTGCAACCCTGTTCTCTAGTCTATTCTTGAACTTGAGGCTCCTGTCTCCTGACTACTTTTGTACTTTTATCATAAGGTTGATTAAAGTGACCGGACATAGTTTTAATACAAATTGTTAATGAAAATAAGCTTTATTACATCAAGTAATAAATACATACAAAGATGCAAATAACAATTTTAGTAATTTATCTAGAATTTTGTTTTTTGGCAAACTTACAATTGAAATCTTCAGCCTTAGGATGAAAATTAGTTATCTGGGATCTTGTTATTGTCTGTTAGGTTGCTCTATCTTCTTTATTTATAACTCATGCACTTTAAATGGACTTCAAAGCACTAACAATCATGCAAATGCTTATGCAAAAAAAAGGTTATTTCTAAGCAGGGTCTATGCTAACTGAGTACAGCTGACTAATAGGTAAAACATGCTACCTCTGCAGTTATTTTTTTTTTAATCCTTAGAGCTTATGTCAAAAGGTGAAAGATTGACCATGTCAGGTTAAGTGAATATAGTCAAAGAAATAAAAAGAATGAGACTGTGGCTGGGAAAGAAGGGAACTGAAGTATAGTCTGTGGGAGAGAAAGCACCCTTCTGCATGCAGTTTTAGTCAACCTTTCGGGAAGAATTTGGGGAGTTTAACATCTTAAAAAATGCAAAACCCTCAGTAAATTGAAAAATCTTCTCATTCTTAACTGTACATTTTCATTAGGGCAAAAAAAGGTAAAACGTTTAAAATAAAAAAAGATTTATCTGAATGTTTCAAAAGGAACAAGTGTTTTTTCTTCATAAAGAGATGGAAAGTCTTGTAACATAATTAGTAGGCTAGGATCTTGCATTCCGTTCAGTCTCAGCCAAGCATTCCCGAACTAATCCTCTGGCATGAATGATGCCTGCAAAAGAACGGTAGATTTTTGAAAGCATCAGATTAGGTAACCGTTGAAATTCATCAAAGTGGTTTAATATTTCTGTCCTAAAACATCTCTCAATGGTGCTGCAATCTACCATAGCAATATCCTTCAGCATCCAACTGCAGTTAAAGTAAGTGAGTTTGGTTCTCCGAACTGGCATCTTTTCACAGATTAACACCATCTGTGAAACTTTGTGAAACTTTACTTAAAAATGGGTCCAGACCAAAACCCCAAATCCACATGTGAATTTCAGATCCACATTCAGAGAGGGATTTAAACACTTCAATTCAGGCGTATTGTAAACTGCAAATCGTAATTTTTTAAAAGGGTCTTGCATACTTCTAATTTGAAAATTTGCTAAGAATATTATCATAAAGCCTGTCCAGCAAGTAACTTTTGCCTTAAGAGGATGTCTCTCAACTCACAGCCATAACTGTCAACATGCCCTGAAAGTCAAAGTCTAAGCTCCACCAGTGTTAATGTGAGTGTGCTAGCGAACATCAGCCACCATAAACCTTGCTCACATTTAGGTGACATGAACTAGACTTTTCCAAAGGAGCTTACTTTTCTTGAGTTTTGAAAGTCCCAGCCTTGGTACTTAAAACACAACTGGCAGATCTAGATTAGCGCTATCTAAGTTCACAGCAGGGGAGTCTGAGCTGGTGTTTGAACCAAGGGAGATTTTGGCATCACTTGCCCACTGCAGACAAGACCACAGTCTGGCACCAAGGTTTTAGGGCAAAAGAGAATAAATAGATTGGTTTCTGCTCAGAGCTTACCACTATTGCTTCTTAACTGGGTGGAGGAGTTGCTGTTGAGCAGCAGGAGGTGCTTGGCCTCATCACACTCAAGTACATTCCCTCTGAAGCACTGTTAGCCATGGGGCTTTAAGGTTACAGAGCAACAGCCAATGATTGCACCCAAAGGAATAATTTGTTTATTAAATAACAACACTTGAATATTTAGGGATACAAGGGTTTTCAAAGGGTTAAATATATGTGCACATTTGGAAATTAGTGCCTGTACATATGGTATGCAATAGGGATGCAAGTGAGTACTGTAGCCAACTATTCGCATTCCCTGGCCCTTGCTGTCTCTGTATCAAAGGGTTAAAAGTTAGTTCTGCCCAGCATGGTCTCTGCAGTGCCACCTCCCCCTCCTCAGTGCAGTACTGCCTCTGTCTACCTGTGCGCCCAGCTCCTACTACGTTTAAACTGCAGAGACGCATCAGGAGTAGCTCCTTGCACGAGCCAAGACTGAATGCTTCTTCCCTTATTGACTAAGCGTGTAGTCAAAAATTGTATCAACCACACAATTAGGAAATTACCCCCTCTTAACATCTTTAGTACGCAAAGATACAAACTCAAAGCTGCATCTTACATATTGTGGCAGGGTGCCCAGTTAATGCAGCAGAGCTACCCTAAGACAAGTAGAAAACTGAGAGTGTTAATGGATTTCAAAGTGTGGTAGGCTGTGTGGCTTCTAAACGGGTGAAGCAAGAAACAGAAGTCTCCTGCAGGAGGAATGAATACTCCATCGATCATATAACTTCCTGCTTCCATGCAGGATTTCCCAAGCCCAGTATCCCCTGTAAGCTGTGTACTGTGCAGCTGCTCACAAGAGATTCAAATGCTGCCTAGCTGAATAGCAGACTGCCCACAGCTAGGATTTATGTTTCTATTTGTGGTGCACAGTCATACATGCCTCAGTGCACATAAAATTATTATTTTTCGAGTGGTTGCTCATGTCCCTTCGAATCAGGTGTGTGCACCGCATGCACCATGTCTCCGGAATGTTTTCCCTAGCGGTACCTGTAGCGCCGGCAGGGCGCCCCCTGGAGTGGCACCGCTATGGTGGAACATAAGTACCCCTGCAGGTGCTCCCCCTCCTCAGTTCCTTCTTACCGCCCATGACGGTCGTTGGAGCGTATGTCTCTGTTAGAGTAGTTAATGGTTCCCATTTCTCTTAGTGTTGCAAACAGTTCAAATTAATTAGTTGGCAGTTCTTTGTTTTTTCCTTCTCCCCCTTTGGGGGTGAGGAATGCCTGGGCCACAAGGCTTTAAGGCTTCCGCTGTACGCGGTAAATTCATGCCCAAGGGAGACTCTCACGATAGCTGTTTAAAGGGTTTGGGTGAGGGTCAACTAGCAGACGCCTGTAAGATCTGCAGGTTGTTCAAGCCGCGCACAAAGAGGGAGCGGGACTCTCGTTTGAAGCTTCTCCTCATGGAGGCGGCTTTACAGCCAGCACCGACTGGACATTCTATGGTGCACAGTGCGCCGGCGTCAACGCGCAACTCTCCATCCTGTGCGAGGACTTCGGTACCGAGGCCTCGGCACCGCTCTCAATCCCCGGCACCAAAGAAGTCAAGGTCTTCGCGGGGTAGGTCTCTGAGCCAGAAGTCCAGCTCCAGCCTACACTGTCACCTTGAATCCCCGGAGCAGACATCTCCGTGTGCTGCAGTGTAGCGTAAAAGAGCTGGACGACCATCAAGTCCAGATCAGCTACCCTCACATCGTCCTTTGACGCCGGACACTTTTGAGGCGGCGCAGGACCTGATTAGCCTCACTACCTCCCCTCTGTCGTCAGTTGAGGCGGAGAGGTTGAGGTCGCCTACGTTGGAGGCCGTGCTGGCTCTGGCTTCTCCGCCGCATGGGCATGACCGGACGGCTCCAGCCACTTATGCAGCGGGACTTTCGCCTGTGGGACCAGTACCGCCTGCCTCATCAGTGCCGGTCTCGACACAGGCCACCAGGCTTCCCCCACCG